ACCCTTTTTTGGTATTGGAATGAAGATAGTTCTCTTCCAGTCTTTTGGCCAAATACCATATTTCCATATCTTTTCACATAATGCATGATAGATTTTTATGCTTTCTTCTCCTCCCGCTTTAATCAATTCAGCTGGTATCTCATCACATCCAGGTGATTTACCATTTTTCAGGCTCCTTATTGCCCATGAAATTTCATCTAATGAGCAGAGAGATAGACTATTTAAAAAAAAAAAACAACAACATAGGAGAGATAGAACTTAGAGGGGGAGAGAGACTGACTGACTGCCTTTCTACACCACCAGGACATCACACAAGCGATAAACACCCGATGACACAAAGTGCCCCCATGTGGATGAGGATCACCGTGGAGAGGTCCCAGAAACCGCGTTCAGACAATTGGCCATATTTATGGCCTGCCTTTATTGCGGCCCTGGCAAAACCAGGGTGGGGCTTCAAATTACAAAAAAATTTCGTCCTCAAAAGGACGAAAAACTGGATATATCGTCTTATATGAGGGAAAGAGAGAAAAAGAGAATGCGGAGAGACAGAGAAAACTCAGAGAAAAGAATTGCTATAACGAAATCTGAGAGAAAGGGATAGAAACAGTGAGAGAAAAAGAAAGAGAGAAACACATACACACACACACACAGATAGAGAGAGAGAGAGAGTGGGTGAGAGAGAGAGAGAGAGAGAGAGAGAGAGAGAGAGAGAGAGAGAGAGGAGGAGGAAGATTAGGAGGAAGTATACAGTGAGAAACAAGTAAAACAAAAAGCAAATGTACCGCCCGGAACAGGAGAATCAAGCCGGTTAAATGAATCAAGCGATACCGTGAACTAGCAACCTTGACCAGACCAATAGCACAGCGACAGCAGGCGTGACGTAAACACAACACAAGCTAGGGACAGATAGCGCAAAAGAGATGAAAAGAGGCGCAGAAACACAACGTTGTAACCAAAGTCTTTAAAACATCAGTCATCAACCACAAAAGGTGACCGAAAAGGTCACACAGAACGGACAGGGGGAGAGGGGGTGGGGTGCGGAGGGGGTGGGGGGGGGGGGTCACAGACAGGAACCAGGGCCTTTTTTCAGGAAGTGCGCAACGGTACGCAGTACCAGCACCTTTTTAAACATTAATGCTATAAACACTTTGTGTGTAGTATTTACACCTTTTTAGAAACTTTATAGTTAGTGCCGGCACTTTAAAAAAAAAAAAAGTATGCAAAAGCTATTTAATTTGTGATAACCCTTTTTTTAAAAAAAAATACTTTATGGCTTGTTCTGACATCTTTGTTAAAAAAAAAAAAAACAAGCACGGGAAGAGCTATTTAATTTTGGATACCAGGACGACTGCAGCCAATTTTTAACAACTGGAGTTAAACCAGACAAGAGCGCTGTGCAAAGAAAAATAGAAGACGGTGGCGACGACTATGATGGTGATGATGATGATGACAACGAATCGTGTGTGTGTGTGTGTTTGTGACCTGGACTCTTGCCACACGCAGGAGTCATTGAAGAATGTCAATACACAACAGCAGATTTCAGTCACACAAATAATCCTGTGACAGATGTTGTGGATCTACCATCTCCACCCTCCGGATAATCTGTCGCGCTTCCTCCGCCTCCTCACCCACTCAACCCCACCACAAACTGATCTCTTGACTGGAGCTCTTAATTGCCATACTCCATAACACTATGTGTGTTACCATGGTCCAACGGAAAAGAAAGGTATATTCTTCTTCTTCTTCTTCAATTATTCTGTCAGAAAATTTGTATTAGGAGGCCGGTAGCCTTTATAAAAGCTATCGCGGTCTGGTCTTTGCTGTGGTTGGAACAGGCCAGATTTGATCTCTGTTGGCAGCAAACAGTTGACAGTGTTAGAGAACTTGCTCAGCATTTTCTTGTGCCAAGTTGCAGGGACCGACTCTGCGTTACCGGCAGGAAAAATTTGAACACACATTGATGAAGTCTGTCTTTCCCAGTCTCCGCAGAGCCTTTGAATTTGCTTATTTTTGTTCCATCTCTTCAAGTCCTGACTGGTTGCTCTTCATCTTGTTCTAACCAAACTATTATTAACTAAAACTAACAAATGTATTGATCCTTTAATAGTTTTAGTTGCTCAAAACATTGCTGATACCCAAGCTCGGTGCGTCAAATAATCTAACACGAAAAAGAGTTTCCAGTTAAGGAAGTTCCTAACAAATTTTATTTCAAAAGAATTTCCTAGAAAAGACACGCTTAGTATACACACGTACTTTCCTGTTGCGTGCTTTGGCGTGCGTGTATTGTGAATCAGACTGTACTGTGAATCAGACTTTCTGAGGAAGTTCAGTTTCTAGAAAATTATCAAAGAATTATTTCCTGGAGTGGCTGGACTATCCGTCTGTATCTGTATGTCCCGCCAGTATTTGCCGCTTGTTATGATGCTGAAGGAAAGAAGGCCTTGATCTTACGGATTTCTGGTATGGCTAGAGCAGACACCACGGACTGTCGAGGTTGTGATTTAATTTTTACACTGGTGAGAAAAAAATCCATGACCTTATCGAGAATTCGAACCTTGGTCTCCCAAAAAAAAAAGAGCCCGGCGTTCGTAACCGCTCATCTCACTCCAAAGATAGCCCCGCTAACTTCTTTTATAGTTTCCCCTTAAACCAGAGCCGTGAAAATCCGTGATACTGTGTAGGTATCGAAAGACGGATCCGCAAGCGCAGATAATTTTCAAGAATTAAGGCTTGAACTTCTTTCTTAAACCACCAACGGCCTGGTTGCCTGCATTCTCTATCCAGTGTTATGCAGACTGAAAGGGATGTACACCACTCTGCTTACACTCGTACCCATTCCTCACCAGGTTCTATGTCCTCGATTTAACCAACTTGAATAATGTTCCCAATCTGACCCACCCAGAATTTCCCTCCTTTTGAACCTGCTACCCTTCTTTCTGCGAATCTCCTTGTACAATATATGGTGTGTATCGGCAGTGATTGACAGATAGCACGTGATCGACAGATCACCGTTCTCACTTCCATGGTTGGAAGATCCAGGAGGTACCGCTTAACCATGCATGCTGTATTCTGTGTGCATTCAAGCATGACGCGCATGGCCTCATTCTGTCACCGATCTAGTCTCTCTGTCTGTGTACGGCTAAGAGTCAAAGTCGCAAGAGCAGTCGCACTTAAAGAACAGATCAAACCCTAGTATAATAAAAATAGACGACGCTGCTAGCAGTTTGTCGCAGCAATTATTGTTGCAAACTAATCTAATTACCAACCACACCTTGTAGGCTGGAAAATCAAAGGTATCGTCAGGGACGCCTGACTTTTGATTTATCCCAATCCGCTTCCTCTTATTAAAGCATGTTTAAACAGTTAGAAGATCTAACATCTAGGCATCGGTTGTGATCTCACATGTCTCCTGCAGTCTCTACAGAGTGACAGGTGGGTCACGTGTCAGAACGTCGTGCAAAGCACAAGCAACGTAAATCTCAGTGGCCGACATTGGGGATCGCGGGGTGGGTTGAGGACCCCCTCCCCCTAAAAAACTGTCTAGCGGATATGGATGGAGGGGGGGGGGGTGCGCAATGGCCCAAGTCCTGGTTAAGTGTGTAACACTACAAAAATTAGTAGAAGCAGCAGCAGCCGTAGTAGTAGTGGTGCCGAGCCTTCCAGGTATGCCATGATCAGAGCGCCTTCTGTAAAGGGCCTGATAATTGTTGCTGACGAGGATAATGAGACACCCAAGTGAAGCTAAATTATCGTGTTTATTTTGTTAAGGTAAGAAGATTCTGGTGCTCAATACAAAGTGTCTAAAAGGTGCCGGTACTCACCATAACGTGTCTAGAACTCGTTCCCACTTAGATAAGACTATGGATCCCTTCTTTCTTTACAAAGGTCTGCTACAGACCCTATACTTTTTAATAGTTATATTTACACACACACACACAAAAAGTTAATTATTAGTGGAATATATATATATATATATATATATATATATATATATATATATATATATATAATATATATATATACACACATATATGTGTGTGTGTGTGTGTGTTTTATTTTCGTTTTAAACGATGACGTGGATCCATTAAGTGTGTTCCGCGGACCACTAGCTGGCAAACAGTGGTCAGAAAGAAAGGAGTCTGTACCCACCACAGAGGGACTGTTATAGTTGCGTTAAAACAACCTAAACAAAATGGTGTGCGTACCGGAAGAAATCTATAGCTCTGTGAAATATATTAATACAAGTATAAAAGTATACAGACACCAATTTCACACTAGCGTCAAGACATAATTAGGGACATCCGAACTATTGAAGAAAACAAGAATACAAGAGAACACTTACCAACTACATCATTGTCAGACAGCGATGCAACATCTACCGTCCCTTCTTTACCCTGAACCTGGCTGCCGAGTAAGGAAACTAAAGCCATTGTGGATGGAGACGTTCCAGTCAACAGATGTATCTGTTTATATACTGAAGAATTCACAGCGAATAACACACAGGCTGAGTCAGCCCAAGTTACATCGACCTAATTGTGGCGACAAGTAGGCCAGTATGATGCAGCAGATTCAATGTAGTCGAGTTGTGTGTGTAACGTATAGATCGTTCAGATTTGGCGTTGATATTTGTAAACAATAATTGCCTTGCAGAATGGCTAAGCAGATCGATAAGCTCAGATCGATGAACGGAGTCTGGCGTAACGATTGAAATCTTTAACTCTTATGATACCTGCGTAACGATTGTAATCTTTAACTCTTATTATACCAGCGTAACGATTGAAATCTTTAACTCTTATGATACCTGCGTAACGATTGTAATCTTTAACTCTTATTATACCAGCGTAACGATTGAAATCTTTAACTCTTATGATACCAGCGTAACGATTGAAATCTTTAACTCTTATGATACCAGCGTAACGATTGTAATCTTTAACTCTTATATTACAAGAATGTTTCATAGTGGATAGCAAAGTAAAACTGATAAAAAAATCGTAAATACTTCACTTTCAACGTGACAATATACATGTCGGTAGTGACAACTTGCGACAGCCAGGTGTTTTTAATAATTTATATATGAGAGCGTATTTTGCAGTTGGGAGGGGGGGGGGAGGGGTGTCAAGGTGTAGATTTATTAAAACAATGGGCGTAACTTGGGACTGAAAAAGTCAATAAGAACACACACACAATAAAACAAGATAAACCCAACACTGGATGTCAAGGACTTAGGCTGGCTTGTTCGTTCTTCGAAGTTTACTTGTACTTCATTTCTGAGCCGTCGTTGGTCAACTGGAGGAGGCATGTTTAAATCCCCGAATAACAGCATTAGTAGTGCAGCCTCAAACTCTTGAACTGGGACACATTGAGAAAAAAAAAAATTACCTTGTGCTTCATGGTGGATCCGGCTTCAAGTGGACACCAGACAATGACATATGAAGTAAAGGCAACTGGTGTGATGTTGGCTACATCTCCAGTTGAATGCTGACTGGTCGACAAAAATAGGGACATAACAATCATTTTAAAAACGTTAGTTGCGTGTGTTTGCAGGTGGGGGAGGGGTGGTTGTTGGTGATTTCACAAGGCAATATTACTTTCACTCGTTTCCCATTGCTTTCTTAACTGTCCGGTCTCGATACCACAGTTGAAAACCAACGCAAGGCGGTCAGCTGCCATACCGTCCGCATACTGCCATACTCAAATCCAGTGTCTTGTAATTTGAAAGCCCGTTTCCTGAATGCATTATTGGCGTGAAAGGGTTTTTATTTCTTGTAATCTCGACATACTCCCTCTAATCCTGTGACAGTCAATCAGTGCGTGAGACCAGGGCAACGAATTTGATAGGGCGGTGGTGAGGGGACTAAGGGAAAAGAAAAAGAAAAAAAAGGGGTTGGGGGGGGGGGGGGGTCGACCAACTGCTCCTTAACAAGCATGCGTAAAAAGCGATAAATGAAGAATTTGCTGAAATCAGAAGGGTCGGGCTGCAAAAGCATGTGTTCATGTGTATGTGCGCGTACGCGCGTGCGTGCGTATGTATGTGTGTGTATGTACGTAAATGTTTGCATGTATATATATATGTATATGTTATGTGTGTTTTGCGTCTCAGTTATTCTTTTTCTTGGCACGACGTTAAAAAACTGTCTTTGAGTCTTGTTTCAGAACCTGACTGCTGCGCGCACATCCGTTTTACAGATCTGTCTTATTTGTATGTAGATTGTTGGTTGCTCGCCTCTCAGCTAGATGCACTCCGACTTCGAAGGAAGCCCTCAGTTAGTCGACTATTACGAGATTCTTGTTGGGAAGGCAATGGGGTCTCTTCTTGTTTTCTCCACACTGGGACCCGAAAACCCACACGTCCTTTAATATTTTTAGCGGTGAAGAACAGAGGGACGTTAGGTGATAGGTACCGTTTTGCTGAAAACAAAATCGTCACCTCCAGCCAGCATCCACAAAGGGGGAGCATTAGGTTATAAGTGTGACTAGGTTATGTGCTCCATATAAAATGGTTTAACTTTCCTTGCCACCAAAAGCCGTGAAAAGGACTTCTGCAGTGTTAATGCGATCAGAGTCAACAGACCCAAATACTGTTCCCACCGGCAACGAAGTCGTCTACTGGCGAGCCTTTAATTACTTAAATTTTATACGACATCTCGTTGACGAGATTTGGTAGAGAAATCCTCAGAACATCCTATAATATAGCGGAAAGGGGGGGGGGGGAGGGGGGAGGGGGGTTAGAGTTAGGCATAGTAGTAGTTGCTATTCATTTAACGCTAGCCACACCCTCCCCTCCCCATAATATCGTACTGACCCAGGGAAACCCTTAGGGATCCCTAGGAATGTCTTATGAAATCTTGAAGCCGATGAGATGTTGTCAGATAAAATTAAAGTACCCTTCGGGGAAAAGTTCTGGTTGCTCGTCCACCTCTGGACTTTGAGTCTTGTTTCAGAACCCGACTTCTGCGCGCACATCCGTTTTACAGATCTGTCTTATTTGTATGTAGATTGTTGGTTGCTCGCCTCTCAGCTAGATGCACTCCGACTTCGAAGGAAGCCCTCAGTTAGTCGACTATTACGAGATTCTTGTTGGGAAGGCAATGGGGTCTCTTCTTGTTTTCTCCACACTGGGACCCGAAAACCCACACGTCCTTTAATATTTTTAGCGGTGAAGAACAGAGGGACGTTAGGTGATAGGTACGGTTTTGCTGAAAACAAAATCGTCACCTCCAGCCAGCATCCACAAAGGGGGAGCATTAGGTTATAAGTGTGACTAGGTTATGTGCTCCATATAAAATGGTTTAACTTTCCTTGCCACCAAAAGCCGTGAAAAGGACTTCTGCAGTGTTAATGCGATTAGAGTCAACAGACCCAAATACTGTTCCCACCGGCAACGAAGTCGTCTACTGGCGAGCCTTTAATTACTTAAATTTTATACGACATCTCGTTGACTTCGAGATTTGGTAGAGAAATCCTCAGAACATCCTATAATATAGCGGAAAGGGGGAGGGGGAGGGGGGGTTAGAGTTAGGCTTAGTAGTAGTTGCTATTCATTTAACGTTAGCCACACCCTCCCCTCCCCATAATATCGTACTGACCCAGGGAAACCCTTAGGAATCCCTAGGAATGTCTCATGAAATCTCGAAGCCGACGAGAAGTTGTCAGAAAAAATTAAAGAACCCTTCGGCGAAAAGTTCTGGTTGCTCGTCCACCTCTGGACTTTAAGTCTTGTTTCAGAACCTGACTGCTGCGCGCACATCCGTTTTACAGATCAGTCTTATTTGTATGTAGATTGTTGGTTGCTCGCCTCTCAGCTAGATGCACTCCGACTTTGAAGGAAGCCCTCAGTTAGTCGACTATTACGAGATTCTTGTTGGGAAGGCAATCGGGTCTCTTCTTGTTTTTCCAGCAACTGGGACCCGAAAACCCACACGTCCTTTAATATTTTTTAGGCGGTGAAGAACAGAGGGACGTTAGGTGATAGGTACGGTTTTGCTGAAAACAAAATCGTCACCTCCAGCCAGCATCCACAAAGGGGGAGCATTAGGTTATAAGTGTGACTAGTTATGTGCTCCATATAAAATGGTTTAACCTTTTTCTTGCCACCAAAATCCGTGAAAAGGACTTCTGCAGTGTTAATGCGATTAGAGTCACAGACCCAAATACTGTTCCCACCGGCAACGAAAGTCGTCTACTGGCGAGCCTTTAATTACTTAAATTTTATACGACATCTCGTTGACTTCGAGATTTGGTAGAGAAATCCTCAGAACATCCTATAATATAGCGGAAAGGGGGAGGGGGAGGGGGGGTTAGAGTTAGGCTTAGTAGTAGTTGCTATTCATTTAACGTTAGCCACACCCTCCCCTCCCATAATATCGTACTGACCCAGGGAAACCCTTAGGAATCCCTAGGAATGTCTCATGAAATCTCGAAGCCGACGAGAAGTTGTCAGAAAAAATTAAAGAACCCTTCGGCGAAAAGTTCTGGTTGCTCGTCCACCTCTGGACTTTAAGTCTTGTTTCAGAACCTGACTGCTGCGCGCACATCCGTTTTACAGATCAGTCTTATTTGTATGTAGATTGTTGGTTGCTCGCCTCTCAGCTAGATGCACTCCGACTTTGAAGGAAGCCCTCAGTTAGTCGACTATTACGAGATTCTTGTTGGGAAGGCAATCGGGTCTCTTCTTGTTTTCTCCACAATGGGATCCGAAAACCCACACGGTGAAAGCTTACACTGAACATATTGTCATCGAGTGTGCTGACACGTGACAATCTTGCACGTGACCTATGGTAAGCGCGTCGCTTAAAGCAGCGGTTCTTAACCTGTGAGTCACGACTCTTTTTGGGGTCGAACGACCCTTTCACATGGGTCTCCAAAGACCACTGCAAAAAAAAAAAAAAAAACATATTCATTAAAGCTGGCAACGAAAATAATTGTATGGTTGAGGGTCGACACAACATGAGGAACTGATTTATAGGGTCGCGACATTAGGAAGGTTGAGAACCACTGGCTGAAAGGATGCGGGGATATCCTCATGTTTTATTCACGATCGTATCTCTCTGGGGTCGGCTCTGTGGCTAAGTCGATACGAAAGCTTCGTAATACCGGGATGCCGGATTCGGTACCAGCTGCGGGCCATGCGCCTTGCGTTGGTTTCGACAGTGGTATAAAGAGAGCCGACCATCCAGTAGGAATGGCAAACTACTGGACGTAAATGCCTAGAAAAACCACACAACAGCAAGGGGCTGTTGGGATTAGTTCTACAACGTCCTGTAAAGGATACGCAACTAATCCTCTCTGGGAGTCATTATGTAATGTGTTTAAGTGTTCAGGGGATTTATGTCCGCGTTTTCTTCTTCTTCTTTGTTCACTGACAGTAAGCACCGGTGGAAAGTCCTGGCTTTGAAACATTTGTATAGGAATATAAGGGTAAAAATAATCACACTGGGTTCTAGAGATCCGTGGTGGTGGGGTAGGTCGGGTCGGGGTAGATCCACTGCCACTTGATAAAAGTAAGGATATGTTCACGTTTCCCGGCCCATCTACACACTTTCTCAGTCTGATCTAGGTCAGAGGGGAATCACGTTGTAGTTGTACTGCTTTTTTGGAAAGAGTCTCTCGTGTGACAAGGCTCAGGCTGTGGGTAAGGGGGCTGGGGTTAGGGCCAGTTATAGATGTGCTGGGGTCGTTGAAAGTTGTGTCGTCGTGTAGTATAGAATACGCGACATCGGCGCTAATGTAACTGGAGGCAACACAACGTGGCACCCCTCCGACGTAAAAAAAGTCGGAGAAAGTATGTATGAAAGATCAGCAGTGTGTAGATGAGCCGCGAAACGTGAAGTGGGTCATAAGTAAATGTAAAGCACCTTTTCCCACGACTTCATGTGTGTTGGAAACATAGGGTTAGACCTATATTTTATACACCGATCAGCACTCGATGGGTGATGTGATCAACATTACACAAACCGCCTTTGCCTCCCAGGTCTACATCTGGTATCCCTTTAAGGCTGGGTAAACTTAGGGCTAAGGCCATTTTTTAAGGGAAAAAAAAAAGGTCCAGCTTAGTTAGAACCTAAACCCACGATCCTTCGATTCGCAGGCAAGCGTCTAGATGCTGCATCATGGCAACTTCTTGCCTCTTAATAAGGATGTTGTAATCAACGACTGAATAGGGATTTGCTGAATTCTTATGTGTTGGGCCCAAAAGTACAAATATCGCAGCCTAGCTACAAACCGCCGTTCTGAAGGTGATGATGGAAGAAGAAAAAGAAGAAGAAGAAGAAGAAGAAGAAGAAGAAGAAGAAGAAGAAGAAGAAGAAGAAGAAGAAGAAGAAGAAGAAGAAGAAGAAGAAGAAGAAGAAGAAGAAGAAGAAGAAGAAGAAAAAAGGAAAGAAGAAGAATAGGTCCAGCACCCAAATGCCTTGAAGTTCGAAGACAACAGAAATGGCCCAAGCTGGTTCCCTTTTTTACTTATCCTTGTAGAGCCCCGTACAGTTATATCAGTTAGTCTTGCCCCATCCAGTCTCCATTTCCCGGCTGGGTACTTTTTTGCTCGCCTCATTCCAGCGGTTTTCAGACCTTCACACAACTGACGCCGATCTCTTCGTGAGTGCTTCGGTAGCTTTGTGGCTAGATGGTCGCCTGCTTGCCTAAAACCGAAAGTCTTGGGCTCCAATCCCCATCTCCCCGTGTGATTTCCAGGTCCTCATTTGTGTCGACATACTAGGGGAATTTCTGTTAAAGTCATCCACATGAGAAGCGAGGAACCAGCAGTCTGCATACAGATAAGTCAGATTTTAATACACATGTGCACGCACACATTAAGTTCTGGTATGGACGAAAAACCAAACTGTTCCGCTGGAATATACAGGTGGTGAACGCAAAGAAGAAGAAGAAGAAGAAGAAGAAGAAGAAGAAGAAGAAGAAGAAGAAGAAGAAGAAGAAGAAGAAGAAAAAGAAATGTTTGTAATAAAGCCACAGTGATGGCTTCTGTTTGAACACGCCTCATAAAAAGCACACACTTAAGGGGGACATTATTATCGCAAACAAACAAAAGCCGAAAGATGACTTTGTCATAACAATGTAAATTGTCATTAAGCAGATTGTCTTTCATTAAGTCAAGAATATTACATGTCCTACTTGACCGGGAACAGAACTTTGGGTTACAAATTATACACACACAAATTTTGCAGTCTCATTTTATATCTGTGACCCGACGCTAAAAGTAGGTCAAACCATATTAGTTTAGCATGGTCACACGCCGGGGTGACTGTTTCACATTTGGAGCATTGTGAGTCTGGAGGTGTTAGGCAATCAGGCAATCTCATTTCCACACAGACTGGTCATCGCTGTTCCTTGTCGAATAATTGACACAGACTCCAGTCTCTGCAAAGTCGACAACATGTGCAGACCTCAAATGCATAAGACAGCCGTTAGAAGTGCCAACACAAACAGTCCAGCGCTAGCAATTCTGTTCATCGTCGATGGAAATAGCAGTTTAAAAAAAAAAAAAACACTGTCAATAGTGTTTTTAATATTGTGTGATCACCGTCATGTTGGCAACCAAAGCCCTCATTACATTTTTCTACAAACCATTTTGGTGGTTAATGTTAGCAGTATTGTCTGTTGTGCCATTATATGCCGCACAGGGCTCCCAGTCTATTCCTCCGTTCCGTTTTATCTTATGTAATTACTTTCAGTAATTCAGTCCAGCATCTTTGGCTTCTTTCCTCAACGTTCGCTTCATCCTCGTTTCCGCAACCCGCCTATTTTCCATTGCGGTGAGTGCCTGTTTGGTATTTCTCTTCTAGTTTCTACTCAGGATGTGTTCAATACATCGCCATCTTTTCTGCCTTATAAATGTTAATACAAGTGGTTGGCCAAAGATTTCTCTGATTTCTTCCATCTCTTGAGTTAATTCCATTTCATCTGGTGGTTATTATGACTGACAATGTATAAACATGCATAATCAAGCAATAGTACAGTCCTGAGTCATACCTTAAACACAAAGGCTTAACAATAAATATGTAGGAAAATATACATATATACATTGCATGAGTTGGCGCAACAGCTGATTCACCTAGATTATTCAGTAGAATAATCTGTAATGCAGTCGATTCCAGATCACTGTGGCTTAGAAGGCAATGAAATAGCGGACAGGTTGGCTAGAAGCGGCAGTGACATGATAGAACCAAACAGTGACTTATCCCACCAAGAAATTAGGACATTAATACTATCTAGTATCCAAGAAAGGTGGCTGGATACACACACCTAATTCTCTCCTCAAGACTCACTTTATCACTTTTCGGTGTAGGAAACACGGAAACGTGCCCTTGAAACTTGGCACCCGAAAATGCTGAGCATGTGCTCAAACACTGCCAACTGTATGCTGACAACAGAGACGCAAACTGGCCTGTTCCAACCACAATAAAGACAAAGCTGTATGGGGCACAAGAAGATATGGACTGCACGATAGCTGTTATAAAGGCTACTGGCCTCCTGATATAAGTTTTCTGACAGAAGGATCGAAGAAGAAGAAGAAGAAGAAGCAGAAGAAGAAGAAGAAGAAGAAGAAGAAGAAGAAGAAGAAGAAGAAGAAGAAGAAGAAGAAGAAGAAGAAGAAGAAGAAGAAGAAGAAGAAGAAGAAGAAGAAGAAGAAGCATGGGTTCCACAAGTCTGCTAAATAAGCGAGTCTACTTCTATGGTACACTTCAAAAACACCAGAGGGGTAACCATTGCGGTAGAAATATTATAAATATAGCAAACGGAAAATGTATTGAGAAGGACACACTAGACAACATAAAATTTGAAAGCTATAGTTGCTGTGCTGGGAATCGAACCTGTCACCTCTAGATGTCATGTTCGCCTCGTTATGGAAACAAGTGCACTAAGAAAATGATCAACTAGGCACCCCTCCCCACCAAAAAAAGTGTCTGCATTCTTCCTATGAGTGCCAATCAATACATTGTCTGTTTAATATATATATATATATATATATATATCCATGAAAATTATTATGACAGTGTACAAATAAAACGAATCAAGCAGCACTACAGACTACTACTAATAAAGAAGACAAACAATAAAAATGTAATTAAAATAAAAGTTCAATGTTCGATATGTCAGGACTTGCAAGTGTCTACTTCCATGGAAACTTCTCTCCAGTCTTGTCTTGCTCCACAGCTTGCCTACCGTTTGCAGTGATCAGTTTCCCAGTCTTCGGGTCTATGAAGATCAGAGCTGGGATGCCCCTGACACCGTATGTTTCCGACAGCTGCTCCTGTTGAAGGAAGAAACCAGGTGCTGGTGTTACTCTGTGAGAACAACATACAGAGGTCTTTCTAGAGCAGTCGTCTAGAAACGTCCAGGTGGCGCCTCCTACACCACTTTGAATATATGGCAAGGATTCCCCCTCGCCCCTTCTCAAACATAACAAAATGTGATTACAAAGAGGATGAGGAAAAGAAAATTATCAAATACTGTTAACAAGAACTTGGAGGAAAAACACGCCCATAATAACCATAAACGTTGTTATTTGACATTGGTCAAATAACAACGTTTATGTTTATTCAACGGATCGACATGTTTCTCCGTTCTTCTTCTAAGTCAAGTCTGAGTCCGAAAAAGCTCAGCACAGTGCACAGGCTGTAGCACCGGCGAGGATCCTGAAATACTTTGGCTAGATTTTTAACTCCAAATTTTTGCCCGGGCAGCGCCGTTAGGCTATTCTTTGCTTTCCAACTTCCAAGGGATTTTTTTACATACGCAACAATGCACACGGGGGTCCGATTTCACTACCCAGAGACCAGGGGAATTACTAGAAGTCTAAGTCCCCGTGGAAAAATGCTAACCCTTACCGGGGATTGAACCCGGAACCTCTAGGACTCGAGGCGTACACCATGCCTCGAGACCACGCAGCCACCTGTCAAATAACAAAACAAGCTATAATCGTCAACAACTGGTAGTTTAATGTCCAGATATCAAGGTGATTGTTGACACTGTTTATTCTTGATGGTAATCAGCTATCTTGGATCTGAGGTTGGGTAAGGCACAACGAAAATCACTCTCCACATCAGGCGGGCAACTTTTCTTGTTGATCCCTTTCACGCCTTTTGGCACATCGGGCATATGGGCAGTGGGTTTCGATCGCGGTACGTTGAAATTACGAGTGGGACTCGCATCGCCTAAGCCACGGAAAACCAAAAGCTGACAACACTGTTTTCCTTTCTTTTTGTTTTATGTTATTAAAAACAGTAATTTAATTTGTAAAAATATAAGTGTAATACTAGTGAGTGTTTATTACGTGTACAAATGCTCTCAGTTTCGAAACCGCTTGATGCTTCCTTGAAACCTTCATGTGACCCCAGCCCCTAGGTTGGAGACCGCTGCATTGGAGCCTAGTAGTAAACACAATACCTCTCATTGCGCCCGTGGTTACAGTTGCCACCTTGGATGTTTTATATCCAGATTTAGATGTTTTCCCTTGCATTTAGATGGCGTTTTTGACGTTTAGATGGTAGATGTTTTTCATTTGAAGTGAATTTGTCAAATCTAACCTAAGAAACAGGATAAAATTTGAACTCTTAAATGCTATCCTGGCAATAAATTTCGGCCTTATAAGAGTAGGAAAAGGCTGTTCCACTTATCAGCTCCCTGATTGAGTATTAAGAGAAATTGGAACTGCTAAAGCATTCCAGAGTCATTTTGGATCTGAAGCTTCAACTTCATCATCCAAGCTAAGTTCATCCCGTGGATCTTGTAAGGCAGACTTCAGTAAAGATGAGGTCATGATTCTATAGGGTAAGATATCAATTGCTATGTAATTTGTGACTCTTTCCATTTTGATGTTTTTTCTAGATGTTTTTAACGCAAATTTAGATGATTTTAGATATTTTTTACTCCGTTTGGATGTTTTTTTGTCAAAGAGATGTGGCAACACTGCGTGGTAAAGTGGGCATTGTATTCTAGAGCCACACATTTGTCGACCGATTTGCTCTTAATAGATGATGTTGTCAATATCACGCCGGTAGCCTTTACTTCCCACGAGGACCTGGCAGTTAAGGTTTTTTCAATGCATCTCTGTCCTGTGCGGATTCGAACTAAAGACTTCCGTGAGCGTCTGTGCACTACTCGCTGCGAACGCGCTTTTTAAGTCTTAAATACATGGTTCGATTCCATGTGCGATTTAAATGGCAGCAGATCGCTTCGCTTTGCATTGATTTCGACAATGACACAGACTGCCGATCGTCCATTTAGCAATGGCAAACTTCTTCTGCTTCTTCTGCTGCTTCTTTTTCTGCCTTTTATAACTCCTAGTGGAGCATAGGCCCTCAACCAACTGACGTCAAGTCGTTCTATATTTCGCTATCGCATGCAGCTTTCCATGTCTTCCCTATATATGTATCTCTCCACATCGTGTTGTACTTCTTGTACTAGAAGATCTTCCACCATCTTGGTTGGCTGGGTTGTTCTTGCTTCTTCTTTCTGACCTTTTCACTTGTCCATGGCTTGTTTGTTTGTGTGGCTATTGTTTTTACAGGAGATGACGTAGCCAACCTCAAACCCAACCCTACCCTTAGTCGTCTCTCACGACATGCATGGTAAAGTGACGTGTTGTGACGTTACTCGTATTATTTGCTTCCTATGAGGCCCCATGTGACACACGGCACATAAAATAACACCCCCCCCCCCTCCCACTGCAAAACATCACAAAAGAAAATAAGCATTGGAACAGATATGCAAACCATTTATTGACAGACCGACAGTCGATCCGAGTTACTGTCTGATTGAGTGACTGCCTGACTGACCTGACGGACTGAAACTACTGAGTTATTGACGGATTGATTTATTGCCTGACTGATTGCACGACTGACTGACTGATTAAATTATTGACTAACCTCTTCGTGATTGGCTGACTGTCTAACTGACTGACTGTTTCATTGACTGACTAACTGTCTAGTGATTGAATGACTTATTGGCCTGTTGAATAACCCACTAATACATATACATGGAATCTTACCTTAAGGTCACTGTCGAACGGCAGAAGTAGCCAAGGCATTGTATTGTAATAATCCTTGCAGGAGGTGATGTCTCTGTCAAAGCTGATGAATACGATTTGCCACTTCTTCCCCGCCGCTGTCACTGACTTGTAGCACTCGACCAACACGGGGGTGAAGTTGCGGCATGGTGGACACCAATGGGCAGAAAAGTACAGACCTGGGAATTTGATAAGGTGAGTTTAAATGGTTGTCAGGCAGACTATGGACTTGGATGAGTTGTAAAGGTGAGTTTATTTGGTTGTCAGGTAGACTACATACTTGAAAGAGTTGTAAAGGTGAGTTCGTGTGGTTTTCAGGCAGACTACAGACTTGAATGATTAGTAAAGGTGAGTTCATGTGGTTGTCAGGCAGACTAAAGACTTGGCTGAGTTGTAAAGGTGAGTTCATGTGGTTGTCAGGCAGACTACAGACTTGGATGAGTTTTAAGGATGAGTTCATGTGGTTGTCAGGCAGACTACAAACTTGGATGAGTTGTAAAGGTGAATTAATGTGGTTGTCAGGCAGGAGTTGCGATTTTATGTGTCTAAGAGGAAGTATAGACTTGCAGAACAGGTTAAGGTGATTTTAAGTGATTGTGAGGGAGAAATATAGACTTCGGGACGGTGGTGGGGGTTGTTATGAAGATGATTTTAAGTGTGATTTTATATAGTTTTGGGGGAAAAGAACAAGCGTGGGAAGTGTCGGTGGACGGGGCCGTAGCAAGGTCAGGTAGTACTCGATGCGGTTTCTGTCACCCCTTACACGCGGGTGGATCTGAATCCTTCTCATCCATATCCTTTTCTAGGACAGGAGTAAAGGGCTTAAGCCATGTTTGAGTACGCAATAATAATAATAATTAATAATAATAATAATAATAATAATAATAATAATAATAATAATAATAATAATAATAATAATAATAATAACGATGAGGTTCATTCCTTCAGATATCACCCCTCCCAACCCCTTTTCCATTCACCTCTCTGGCTGGCCTTCTCTTTTCAGCAGGTGACATCAAGTGTTTGCAGATCTGTCTGCACACTCTCCGTCGACTTCTTGGTCCCCCTCGTGGTCTACAACCTTTCAACTCTATTTTGAACACCGTTTTTGCCTCTCTGTCACCTGACATTCTGTCAGTATGCCCCAGCCATTTCAGTCTCCTAATGCCAGTGATCAGTGGTAATTGAAACAGATTATGAATTTCGTTGTTGCTTCTCGCTCTCTATTTCCCGCTGTTTGCATCTTTGATGGGTCTGAAGATTAGTCAAAATATTCTATTTTCAAAACATTTCTAATAAGGCTATATCTCTTTTAGTTGTAGTTCAAGTTTCTGCTTCGGGCAGAGTGGCAAGCTTCACTGAAAAGGTCACGGGTAGTGAGTATACTTTGAATCTTTTCTCCAGGCTACGCCAACGTGGTGAGTAATGAACAGACAGACAGATTGGCCGAATCTGCACCACTGGGTGGTAAATTTAAACATGGGAAAAAGAAGTTTACACCCATGTACTTATATTTTTCAATTAGCTGAATCACATACAAATAAAATAATTGTCATATTAGGAAATGTAAAAACAAATACTTTAATCAGAGAACTCACCCCCGTGTGGGTTTATAGGGCCCTATTATAGGGAAAACAAGAATAGACCCACTGCCTACCCAAAAGCATGTCGTAAAAGTCGACTAATTGGGAGCTTCCTTCGAAGTGCATCTGCCTGAGAGGCAAGGACCCAATAGTCTGCACACAAATTTGTCAGATCTGTCAAACGGATGCACACGCAACACTCAGGTTCTGGAACAGGACTGCAGTCCAGAAGTGGACGAACAACCATAATTTTCCACCCGAGTTTACAGCTGGTGAACGCAAAGAAGAAGAAGGTTCAGAGAACGTCGTCTACACATGGTTAGCAGGTCACTCAGCTAGGGGTGGGGTGGGGTGGGGAGGGGAGCTTAAGTTGCCTGAGCTCAAAGTTTTCGGCACCACTTATACAGACAGGCAAACATACACCAGACCGAAAGTCAGGCAATCAGATTGACAGGAATGCGCAGACTTTGTGACACAGTGGGTAATATTGAAGATCTAACGGTCATATCCAATGTGTGATTACACACTATCCCTGGTAGGTGTCAGCTGTTGGTGAGAAAGATTCTCCCCTTCACAGTACAATTCCTTATCCGTCCACCTCGCAGATACATCGCAGCCTACTGTGTTTTATATTAGCTGTATTCGAATGATGAATGTCGAATCGACATCATAGCTCTCGGGACACTCTCATAAGCGCTATGTCCCTATCTTCAGCAGCACGGCAAGAGTTCCAGTTCCAATGGCACCAGCAACTGATTGTTTATTTGTCTTGCCTTTTCCTTGAGTGTTGAGCGCCGGCCAGATCCCCCTGGTAGCTCCTCTCAGCGCTATTCTCCTGAGACCGTAATGATCTACTTGTGCCCCCCACTGTTCACTGGCTCCATTCACCATCCAGTGGTGCAGAACCGGCCAGTCTCACTGCCTGCTTGTTTTATTCGACCTAACCTACTAGACATGCGAGGGCCTTAATCTGAGAGCAGTGTTCTTCATACTTTTTACTCTTGTAGACCAGCAAAGTTGAGGTCAAGAGAATTGATATAATTGTTTATCCCATATAGTTTGATATATCTCTGTAGAACAGTTAGCTGTCTGCCGAGAGGGTCTCGCAGAGCAGGAACTCTGTAGCCCCAACGATGATCACGTGGGTCTCCGTACAAACAGCACTGGTGATCTGAGAGATGAGTTCGTGGAAACGTACCCATGATCTCAAAAGCGCGAGGTAAACTGCAGCAGACTGCAGGGATTCGAAACTAGCAAAATAGCGGAAATTATTCCGCGGACCACCTCACAGTTAACAACACGCGGAAGCAAAAGCAGAGGTAGGTAGCCGACTATTTGTTGAATTTAACAATATTTGTAATGTTCGGCTAATGTGTAAACTGTTGCTGCTCTGATATACGTGGCTGTGATAGCCGAAGCGCTGAAACGAAATACATTGACTGACTGACTGACTTTCTACCCCACCAGGACATCACACAAGCGATAAACACCCGATGACACAAAGTGCCACCATGTGGATGAGGATCGCCGTGGAGAGGTCCCAGAAACCGCGTTCAATTCAAATTCTCTTTCGTTGACCACTTTCAGCTAGGTCCGCTCACATTTCTGCTCACTTTCCTTTCAGCTATATTTGTGGTGACGTTTTTTGGTCTCGATCTCATGTGGTTCTGAATTGTGTTCAATATTGTCGCTTTCTATTTGTTGTGGTTTCCGCTCTTGCTGTTGCTTTTGTAATTTGGCTGGCCCTGTGCTGCGCTCAAGATGATTGGATGTTGAATCGATTTATTGTGGTATTCCTTGGCTGTTTGTTGTTTCCGGGGAAAGTAAATTGCCTATCCTAATAAGGACCGGCGGTCGATTGACTTGGGCAGGTACTGATGGCAATACTGGTGAGGTCTGGTATTATTTGGTGATTTTCTCGTATCCTTGTACTACTCCTACATAGGGTTTCGGTAATTTTGGCCTTGGTTGTGTCGTATCTGGTATTAGTGTTTGGGGTAACGGTGTCGACCTCGTTTGACTTCAGGTTTTGGCTGTCGATATGGTTCCTCTGGTGATGACCAAAGAACATCATCATCTTGCAGTTCTGAGTTAAAGATGTTCGGGTCCTCCAGCTCCATGATGCGTTGGTTTATTTGGTCAGCAGTTGCCATCGGAAACTGTTTCATCAGCGTCGTTGGAGTTTTCTTATCTTGATTTTGATGTGGCTTTTTCTGGGTCTCGGCTCCCTGTATTTGCTGCCTTCTTGTTGCTTCTTTCCGTGCTTTCTCTCTTTCTTCCATCACTCTGTTGGTTGCTTGCAGTTCCTTATTAAGTCTGTTGTTTTCTTCGTATGCTCTTCGTAACTTTTCCTCTGTTTCAGCCAGTGCCTTCTTGATCATTGCGACTTCTTTCGCGAGAAGTTGTTGGTTATCCCGCAGATCATTGATGCCCGCCTCGTCTTCCCTTGCTTTAGTTGGTTGTTCCTTTTGTGTCTGGATAGTGGCCAGTGCATTCATGATGTCCTCCTTGAATTTCGTCATCTCTGCTGTCATCCGTTTCTGGGTGTCAAGAGTCGCCTGCATTATAGCTCTCAGGCCTGTTATTTCATCTCTGTCTTCATCTCGTTGGGATTTGGATGCGTCTTTCTCGTCTCTGAGAGCTTGGATGTCACTTTTGAGTTGAGCCACCTCGTTGCTCAATTTGGTGGTAATGGCTGCAGTTATGCCTTGGGTTGCTTCGTGTCTTCTGCAGGCCTCATGGTATGGAATCTTTTCCCGTATGGCCGTGGTTGCTATTTCTCTACATTGTTGCAGATAGGGGCACCCCAGGTACCTGGTGCTGTGCTGGCCGTAGCAGTTGGCGCACTTCCTGTTCGTACAGGGAGACCTAAAGTCTGTGTCCAGCTTTGCCAGCGGGCAATTGTTGAAGGCATGGGGTTGTGAACAGTATCGGCATACTTCATGTTCGCTCACACAAGTAGCCCGGGAGTGCCATGCTTTTTGGCAACGAGAGCACTGGATCACCTGTGGCACGTATTGCTCTGGTCTTTGCATTCTTTGATCTAGGTAAACTTTATCCGGGATGTGTTCTCCTTCCGATGTTATCACCGCCACTGGCAATGGATGCCGTTTTGAGCCCAGTCTCTCTGCTTGGTTGATGTTGACATGGGGGTTTTCTTTCCTTATTTGTTGCAGAATTTCTTCGTTGCTCCATTGCAGGTTGACTCTTCGGATCACCCAGCGTCTTACATTCTGGAAGATTGTGGCCGTCTTGTTATCTCCTCGGATAGTCGGAGTTCTTTCTTGCCGTCGTGTTGGATGTCATCCAGCATGTCTGAGGTGCGGTTGGTTCTGTTTAGTGAAGCTATCACTCCTTCTCGAGTTCTCCTAATCTTTGCGACTGCCCTCTTGCCTAATATGATCTCCAGCATATTGATCAATGTTAGCGTTGCCAGTGTTGTGATTGCTGTCCGGCCCGAGCTGGTCTGTCGTAGAAATATTGTGGCAGGAAATTCATAGCTGCCTGTCTTTCGTCGATCTGGAGATGTTTGTGGAGTTGGCTGCGTTAGTTCAGGTGACGCTGGGACGTCACTCAGGGCCTCACTGGTAGTCGGGGCGTCTTCCTGTGATTCGGTAGTAACTGTCTGCGTCTTCCTGGCCTCCGAGTTAGATCGGGTAGATCGGTCAGTGGGTTGTTTCCTCTGTCCGTTGCGCTTTCCGTTAGGTTTGTTTCTCCGAGATATGGTGCTTGCGGAGAAGGCCTCTCGCTCTGGCAAATACTTTGTATTATGTTATGTAGGTTTCAGTCCTATCTGATGACAATTGCGGAGAAGTCCTCTCGCTCTGCCTATACTCAAAGGGACCAGCATGTACTGTATATCTGATGACAATTGCGGAGAAGTCCTCTCGCTCTGCCTATCCTCCAAGGAACCAGCATATACTGTATTGTGCAGGTATCAATACTATCTGATGATTGGCTTATATGGTGGACCGCGTTCAGATAATTGGCCATATTTATGGCCTGCCTATATTACGGCCCCTGGCAAAAGCCAGGGCTGGGCTTCAAATAACAAAAAATTTCGTCCTAAAAAGGACGAAACACAACTGATAACGAAATACATTCCCATTCTCTGTTTAATTTTTATTACTGACATTGTTGAGAAAGTCTTTTCACAAAAACAGAAAGTTGAAAAAAAAATATGAGGCAGACGTTTTTGTCAGACCACTTGAACACGTTTGCGGGTCACCCAGTAGCCAGCGGATCACTGTTTGAAAAAGACTATCTTAGGGGTTGTGAACGCTGTATTGGTTAGGAGTGCTTGTGTGTGCGTGTGTGCGTACGCGCGAGTGTGTGGGCGGTGTATTCAAATAACATGTCCTTATTTTAATTACAGTCTTGACTGGGTGTGGGTTTTTTTTTTTTTTAATATCGATTCTTCCGCCCCCTCCTCTCTAATAGACCAGACCGTACGGCGTAGATTGTTATTATATGACAGTCACCTTTCTATCGTTTTGTAGCCCGTAATGTGTGGTGTCGGTTAATGCTAAACCATTACCCATGGCACAAAAGACGAAATGTCAATCCCTAAACTTGGCACAAGAAAAACAGTCCACAGTTATATAGCAAACGCTCCTTGAATAAAGGAGTTGGTTGAACGTGGCTAAATCAAACAACTAAAAAACCATTCGGTGTTGGTTGTGCTGCTTGCTAGCAACCTATTGTTTCTCTTGTCTACACCTGTCAACTATGTATGGATGTGGGAGCTGCGGTGGTTCCATGTCTATACTTTCTCCTGTCGATGCGAAAGTTGGGTTCGGATATGCATATGACACATTAAAAAAAATAACTTATCTTGGTTCCTGGGTCGATCCAGCTAAAATGGGTACCATGGAAAAGTCCTGCAAACAAAGGCGCCAAAACCTGTTGGCCCAGGTCCGGAAAGCTCCCATTTGTTTAACTCTTTGAGTCCCAGAGTGTTTAGCATCACAGGCCCAAGGGGTAGTCAAGAGAGACGTAAAATCCGAGCATCATGCGTTAATTGGGCTTCTAGGCAGTAACCTATGAACGTATGATGCGTTAATTGGGACTTGGAACAGGAATGAGCCCCATCTCTCAACCCACCCACCATAATTAGAATAAGCTCTTCGTTGAAAGTGGCTTATTTAGGCAGAAGCCCAGCGTATGATATTCTTTACAACATAACATCTGAGAGGCCCTTATGTGGGTTCCAGGGCCCTATTATAGGGAAAACAAGAATAGACACACTGCCTACCCAAAAGCATGTCGTAAGAGTCGACTAATTGGGAGCTTCCTTCGAAGTCGGAGTGCGTCTGCCTGAGAGGCAAGGAACCAACAGTCTGCACACAAATGTGTCAGATCTGTCTAACGGATGCACTTGCAACACACCGGTTCTGGAACAAGACTGCAGTCCGAAAGTGGACGGACAACCAGAACTTTCCACCAGAGTTTTACAGCTGGTGAACGCAAAGAAGAAGAAGATGTAAGAGGAAGGTGAGGGGAAGAACAAGAAAGAGAGGGATAGATGGTGTATCTCAGGGTTTCCCAAACTTTCCTTAGTCGCGGCGCCTTGTTTCAATAAAAAAAATTTCCACGGCGCCCTAGCCTAAGTAAAAGTATGAATATTCGTATGTAAGAGATAAAAAAAAATAATGTTGCTGTTGTTGTTATTATTATTACTGTTATCATTGGTTAAAGTTATAGTTAAAGTCGAGAGGATCGGCTTCATTGCACCGGGTTTTATCTCATATGGCTCGGTCTCTCTTAGCAAAACGGCTAGCAATCTGCCGATAGCGCCGCATAGAGCACGAACTTCTTAGCTCCAGCGACGATCCCGTGGATCTCTGTAAAAATTGTACTCGTGAGAAAGATTGCCACAGAGACAGCTGCAGAGGTGAAGCGTCTAGACTCGCCTGTGCTTTTGAAGATCATGGGTTCAAAAACGAACAGAGTCGCCCCACAAATGACCAGACCTACCCAGCCTTAAATATCTACCAGATAAAGTCCTGGGAAGTAAAGGCGGCCGGCATAGTGTTGACCACATCACCGACCGAGTGCCGATTGGTCTATAATAAATATAGGTTTAACACTGCGTCAATGGCATAAAAAATGTCTTTAGCTTTTAAACTGTTTACTGTTGTTATAAGTTATCAAGGTGGAGCTCTGTTGTTTGGAGGTTAGTGAATGCGGCTAACAATGTTATGATCACCAAGTATTGGAGTTCTTTTCCCGAGGTGAACGGTTTAAAAATAAAACATTATTGTGATTTTCGAATAATTGTACAAGAGTCTCACAGTGGAAGAAATTGGCGCCTCGTCACGTAACACTAGAAATGACAGCAGTTGTATAGGTTCTTTTGTTTTAGTTCACCCTATCTCGGGGAATCCGAGACTTTGTGGGGTGTTCCCAGCAAAGTCCAACGGTATAGGGGTTTTAGGGTGTGAAATAAGCACAGACTAAAACTAACCCTATCCCTTCCCCCCCCCCCCTATTGTTTTGGACTTTTCCAGGATACTCCACGCGAAGTCTCGGATTCTCGAGGTGGTGAGACCTAAAAGAAAAGTACCGTAGATCGTGGCCAACCTTTCTTGTAGAGGCCACCCTAACATTTATTGTTATGTTATCATAATTGACATCACTGCAAATAAGGTAATCCTATAACTTCCATTTCCGCGCTTAGAGAATATATATATATATATATATATATATATATATATATATATATATATATATATATATATATATATATATATATATATATATATATATATATATATATATATATTGAGTGAGTCAAAAATTGACATAACAGCACTCGGGGGATTTCCATACATGCTCCGTCCTCAACTTTAGCAGCCAGCTCAAATATACATACACACACATATATATGTGTCGCCTCTTACGGCATGCTTAGTGGAGGAGGCAGTGAGTCTATTCTTGTTTCCCCACAATGGGGTCCATGATATATATATTTATAATAAACAAACAGTGTATTGATTAAGTATTGAATAAGTAGAAAGATAGAAGGAAACACATCATACCCTCACACCCCCCCACCCCCCCAATTGTGTCTTCATTGGTCATGTCCATTGTACAATTTGAAATCCACAACTATGGAACACGGACAGAGTTAATCTCTAACCATTTTAATGGCACCATAGGTTACATTAAATTTATAATAACCAAACATAGGTCGAATAGCAAAAGACAACAACAATGATAAATAAACATCCCGAGGTAAAAGATAAAAGCACCTCTAAGGAATTCACGTACGAGAGCAGTTAAATAATAAGCACATACCCAACAAATCGTTGTCTGCCAGTGAGCTCACACCCACACGAGCACCATCTTTCCCCTCCACGGTGTCGCCCAAGATCGCTACCAGGTGAGCCATGGTTTAAACAAAAATAACCTTGAGGTCGACGAACACGTTCGCTAGGAAGTAAATGGCGTATGTGTTGGTGGGAAAATCTAGTTCACACATGCAGGTTGTGCTTTCTGTCAGAGGTTCTCAACTTGTGTCGTACTGGCCCCGATACGGCTGTTGTATATTTACACTCTTCGTGTGGGTTCCATGGGCCCCATTGTGGGGGAAACAAGAATAGACTATCTGCCTTCCCCACCAAGCATGCCGTAAGAGGCGACTAATAATGGGCTTTCTTCAAAGTCGGAGTGCATCTGCATGAGAGGAAAGGAATCAAAGTCTACATTCAAATGTGCCAGATCTGTAAAGAGGATGTGCACACAACACTCAGTTTCTGGAACAAGACTTAAGTCCTGAGGTGGACGAATTACTAGAACTTTCCACCGGAGTTTATAGCCGGTGAACGCGAAGAAGAAGTAGATGAAGTATATGTATAGACGGTTAAATGAGTTACACTCCGTCTTCTTTTTATACTTCATCATCATCATCATCCTGTGTGTGCCGTTTGACGTCACACTGGACTCGCATTTGGTTCTTCCACTCCGCTCTGTTGCATGCAACTCTCTCAATTTGTGACAAGGATTTCAGCCCAGCATTGCCTCTTGTAATAATGTTCTCCCCCCTCCCGCCCGCCCGCCCCTCTGCCCCTCCCGCCCGCCCGCCCCTCTGCCCCTCCCGCCCGCCCGCCCCTTCCCCATCCTCCCTTCCCCATCCTCCCTTCCCCATCCTCCCTCCCTCCCTCCCCCATCCTCCCTCCCTCCCTCCCTTCCCCATCCTCCCTCCCTCCCTCCCTTCCCCATCCTCCCTCCCTCCCTCCCTTCCCCATCCTCCCTCCCTCCCTCCTTCCCCATCCTCCCTCCCTCCTTCCCCATCCTCCCTCCCTCCTTCCCCATCCTCCCTCCCTCCTTCCCCATCCTCCCTCCCCTCTCCATCCTCCCTCCCCTCTCCATCCTCCCTCCCCCAGCCCTCTCTCCATCCTCCCTCCCTCCCCCAGCCCTCTCTCCCTTTCCCAGCCCTCTCTCCATCCTCCCTCCCTCTTCCCCAGCCCTCTCTCACACATATGCACACACAAATCTGTCAGTCTAGAATATCAACATAAACTCATGTGGACCCACAACAGTGGATCGCTTGGTGTAAAAAGCATATGTCCTTTACTTCTGCCTGATAAAAATATATGGTTTTGTACAAATATTTTCTGAACTGACCTTAAATAAAGAAGTCCTGAATTTTGGAGTCATAGCTGTTCATTGTTACAGTTAGATGCCCCACCTCTAGTTTGTCTGTACTAATAATANGTATACGCTGGATCACCTGACAGCCATTGGGATCTTGACAAATGGAACAGCTGGGGAGAGTGAAGACATACTTAGACATGCATGAATTGATTAAAAATGTCTGCTGTAACCACAATGAATGCCGGTTACAATGTACTTATTGCAGTCTACATGCCGTGAATAACTGTCAAATCAAGTCACGGCTACACCACATATTTAGGAAACCCTGGAATGAAAGAACTGTACCAATAGACTCGCAAAGAGCCCTTATAGTCCCAATTTGGAAAAGAAAAGGCAATAAGCAAGATTGTAACAATTACAGAGGCATCTCCCTTCTAAGCCACGTAGCAAAAATTCTGGAACAAGAATTAGATCCGTTGTAGAACCGATCCTGAGCCCATCACAGGTCGGATTTAGAAAAGGAAGAGGGTGAACTGACGCTATTTTTGCTTAAAGACAAGTTAACGAAAAGACACTAGAACACAGACATCAAATGAACATCGCTTTCATAGATCAAGAAAAAGCTTTCGATAGAGTAAACAGAAATTTATTATGGAAAGTTCTTGAAAACTACGGTATATAAATGGAACAATTTTAGATTGTGTTAGGGCTATTTATAGACAAAGTGAAAGCGCCATTTGAACAAGAAATGGCATCACAGACTGGTTGTCAGTAACATCAGGAGTAAGACAAGGTTGTGTATTATCACTTTTACTTTTTATAATATTTATGGACAATATAAATAAAATAGACATAACACCGACAGATGTCGATAAACAGGAGGACTTCAATGAGCAGCTCTTTGCCGACAATCAATGCCTATTTCACAGTGACAGTAAACAGCTGCAAGACCACATAAACCTACTATACGACAGTTGCCTCAAGCATCATATGAAGATCAATACTGAAAAGACAGAAGTCATGAGCATAAGTAGAGAGCAACAGACCATCGACATAAAGATTCTAGATCACAGCCTAAAACAAGTGCAAGAATTTAAATACTTGGGAAGTATCTTTACATTCAATGGTAAAATAGACAGAGAGATCGAAGCAAGAATCCAACAGGCCAACAATGTCGCATACCAGCTTGCCCCAATTTTAAAACACCCTGCTGTCCCAGCTGAGATAAAAAGACAAATTATAAATACAATCTTTATACCGACATTAGGTTATCAATGTCAGACTTGGACATTAACAAAAGAACACGAGAGAAGACTAACCACCTGTGAAATGAGATGTTTGAGAATGGCTGCGTATAAAACCAGAAGAGATCGAGTGAGAAACGATGTGATTACAAGAACTATTGGAACCATACCCATCGTTAAATTTATTGAGAAGCAAAGAATGAAATGGTTTGGTCACCTAATGAGAATGGAATCAACGATGCCAGCATCAAGAGCATACAACATGAAAATCGAAACACCAAGAGGCAGGGAAAGACCAAGAAGAAGATGAATTGAAGGAGTCACGGACAACTTGAGACTTCATAACATCGCGGCATATGAAGCGACTGAGCGCGCCCTGGCTCGGTTGCCGATCATCTGATAGACTGCGACGCCTAGAGGCACAAGCAGATTTTGACAAAAGAAAGAAGAAATTAAGTCACCAAGGAATATGTCTAGAAATTCAACGATCGTCAAAGTTGGTGAGCAAAGTGTTAAGACAGAAAAGCAAAAGAAAAGGACCCTTCCTGAGGCCATCAAGCACACTGTGCACTTAGTTCTAGACCCATATTTTATAGACCAATCAACACTCTGTAGGTGATCCAGCCGCCTTTATTTCCCAGGACTTGATCTGGTACCCATTTCAGGCTGGGTCAGCCTGAGAGTCAAGGTAATTTTTTTTATAAAAATTCAGCATCATGTGGATTTCAACAAACCTTCAGGCCACAAGCATGCATCTATCCACTTCACCATGACAGCTCTCAAGAAAATGACAGTAATTGTGCCAAAATAAGATCTAACTTGGGGGGGGGGGGGGGGGGGGGGTCTGATATCTTAGTGTAGATCAGGCTAAGGAACAAAGCATGAGTTTGAGCTGCCAGTGTAGGACTGGGCACCAGTGTAGGTTTGTCCAGTCAAGGTCTTCAATGTGGTCTGTCCAGTTAGGATCTTCTGTGTGATCTGTCTAGTAAGGATCTTCAGTGTGGTCTGTCCAGTCAGGATCTTCAGTGTGGTCTGTCCAGTCAGGATCTTCAGTGTGGTCTGTCCAGTCAAGATCTTCAGTGTGGTCTGTCCAGTCAGGATCTTTAATGTGGTCTGTCCAGTCAGGATCTTTAATGTGTTCTGTCCAGTTAGGATCTTCAGTGTGGTCTGTCCAGTCAGGATCTTCAGTGTGGTCTGTCCAGTCAGGATCTTCAGTGTGGTCTGTCCAGTCAGGATCTTTAATGTGGTCTGTCCAGTCAGAATCTTCAATGTGGTCTGTCCAGTCAGGATCTTCAATGTGGTCTGTTCAGTCAGGATCTTCAGTGTGGTCAGTCCAGTCAGGATCTTCATTGTGGTCTTTCCAAAGATTTCTATAAGCTGGTCATTTCCTTAAGGCTGTTCCTGATGGCAGTGTTCCATCTTCTGTGTTTTCCCTCAACTATGTGTCCATTATATTTCTTCAGCATGCCTCTTGTCTCTCAACAGTTGCTCTTTAATAAACTGTATGGCTGGATTCGGACCCAACCTAATTCCATAATTTTTAGATTCCAGACCCCAGCAATTTCTTGGGTAGTGAGATTATACAATGAACTCAGAAAAGGCTTAAAATGAATTTTTGAAAACAAAAGGTTCATTACCACAGACTCTAAATCAGCAAAGATGAATAACAAATCATGAATCCTTTGAAGTAAACAAAGAATAGCTCTATGTAGAAGTATGACATGTGTGAGTTCTAGGGTCCATGGGAGAGGGCAGGCACAGACAGACCCATTGATACATTTATAAGCAAGTCATCAAAAGTGACCTAAAGCACTGGTACTCTGTGTGAGTCAGCTTCCCTTAAGACATTACTCTTAATCTGTCCAGGATGTTCTTATCACTGTCTACAAAACCAACAACTTCTAAATAATTTCCACTAATCTATAAAGGCAACACAGAAGGAAATGTTTTAGAAAATCATGATGTAAGGCCTAGCTTTTCAAACAGTGGTGACAGTGTGTCAGCTGTAGCGTGTGTGAGTGTCGCACAATTGCTGGTATCTAATTTGTTTTCTGATTGTAAAGTCATACATTATAACAATGATAATCTTAGAAATAATTGTTATACAAATGAAAGGTTTGAATGAGATAGATTATGTTGTGAAACATTTCCTCATTACAATTTGTGTTTGAATCAATCTCTTTTAGGGGTTAGTTTAACCTCTGGTTGACTAAATTATTGTGTATGGCAGAAAATTGTGCTTGTTCATCCACTTCTGGATTTCAGTCTTGCTACAAAACCAGGATTCTGTGTGCATATCCGCTTGACAAATCTGCTTGTTTGTATGCAGACTGACTGTTGCCTGCTTTCATGCCTGGCCACTTGAGCCAACCGTGAGCTGCAAAACTGGTGTGGAACTGTTAGTTTGGCACATCTGACAGCTGCCTTATACATTTACCTATGAGTGTGCAAGCTTCAAATGTTTGCTGGTAGTTTTTGACTAGCTTTGAAATGTAGTGAAGGAAATTGTGATTTTAACTGGCACAGGAATGGAACACTCATGTGGGTAACC